CCATCATCTTTCTGTGGGCTTGCTATTTTTTGCCCTGAGTCCTTAGAACTCCATGCTGTCCCAGAGAGCAAAGCTGTCGGGCATTAAGGCGTGGAGCACAGTGTGCTCCGCACATCCCCACAGCCGGGCCTGGCTTGTGCCTTCACAGCCTGGAGGGCCCCTGCTCCCAGGCAGAGGCACCAGAGAAAGATCCCTGAGCTTACCTGGCCTGACACCCTTCTCTAGGGAAGACCTGTGAACCTGAGCCCAAGGGCTGGTGTACACTTGTTTACTGTGTAAGCAAGGGTAGAAGAATGTCTGATGTACAGTGGAACCTTGTACAGAATAAATAGTAGCTTTGAGGAAAAAGATGGCCAGTGGTGGAGTCTTGATTTGGGAGGAGGTCGAGCCTGCAAAGGGCCCCCGCAGAGCAAAGGCCATATGTTTTTGCTTCAGCCTGCAAATGCTAAGTTCTGGCAAAAGCTGCCAACTTGTTCTTAGACATTTCACTTCTGGTAAGAAGTTGAAACGTTCTACACATCAGGCATGATTTTCTTCTCAATCTCACGATTGTTTATATAGCCTTATTAGAAGGGTGACAGGTCATGTCCCATATTCTAATATCTTCTAGAGATAAATTCCAGTATATTCTGAGATTTCATACCTGACAACGCTGACATCGCTGCCTGGTGTGGGGACTTTTGTGTATAATCAGTGGTCGTTTTGAACTACTACTGGCTTGGGTGATCTGCTGTTTCGCTGAAACACCGGGGTGCTGGTGCACAGCTGTGAGGGCTCCTGGGGTCTTGGAGGAGGCGTGGGAGGGGCCTGGGAAGGTGGCTCAGTGGTAGAGCGCTTGCCTTGCATGCTTGAGGCCCCGGGTTTGATTCCTCAGCACCACATAAAAAGAAAAAAGCCGGAAGTGGCACTGTGGCTCAAGTGGTAGAGCGCTAGCCTTGAGCTGAAGAGCTGAGGGACAGCACCCAGGCCCAGAGTTCAGGCCCCACGACCAGACCCAAAAAAAATTGTTTTAATTAAAAAAATTTTTTTAAATTAAAAATTAAAAAAAGTCTCAGCTGGCTGGGAATGTGGCTTAGTGGTAGAGTGCTTGCCTAGCATGCATGAAGCCCTGGGTTCAATTCCTCAGTACCACAAAGCCGGAGGTGGTGCCGTGGCTCAAGTGGTAGAGTGCTAGCCTTGAGCAAAAGAAGTCAGGGACAGTGCCCAGGCCCAGAGTTCAAGCCCCACGACCGAAAAAAAAAAATTGTTATTGTAAAGGTGATGTACAGAGGAGTTATAGTTACATAAGTCAGGTAATGAGTACATTTCAGGATATGACTTTTTTTTCTTTTTGGTCGTGCGTGGGCCTTGAACTCTGGGCCTGCGGGCTGTCCCTTTTGAGCTCTTCAGCTCAAGGGGAGTGCTCTACGTGAGCCTCAGGACCACTTCCGGTATTCTGAGTGGTTTATTGAAGATAAAGAATCCCACGGACTTTCCTGCCTGGACTGCTTTGAACTGCAATCCTCAGATCTCAGCCTTCTGAGTAGCTAGGATTACCGGTGTGAGCCACCAGAACCGGGCTTCAGGATATGATTTTAAAAGCCAATTATTTCCCACACGCCTAAGATGAACAAAACCTCTTCAGAATGGAATAAGCTTGGAGCCAAGTGTTCTAATGCCTCAGATTTGTTTTCTGCTGGCAGTAGACGCAATTGTACATTTTTTTTTTTTTGTCGGTTGTGGGGCTTGAACTCTGGGCCTGGGCGCTGTCCCTCAGCTCTTCAGCTCAAGGCGAGCGCTCTACCACTTGAGCTACAGGTTTTCTGGTGGTTTATTGGAGATAGGAGTCTCACGGTCTCTCCTGCCCGGGTTGGCTTTGAACCGCGATCCTCAGATCTCAGCCTCCTGAGTAGGATTACAGGCCTGAGCCACCAGCGCCCGGCGCGACACAATTGTACATTTTTGTCTCATGGGGAATATGGTAACGGGGACTCAACACAGGCCTGGCACTCTTGCTCCCAGCTCTCCCTTCGGTTCTTAACCTGTGGTGCTTTCTAACCGCCTGGGCAACAGGCCAAGGTGCAAGACAGACCCTCAAACAGAAGCAGATCTGTCCTCAGGGTTCTTTGCCTCCTAGCAACTTGGATTTCTTCTCTCCTTGGTGCTGGCATTCCTGAGGGCCTTGCCAGGGGAGGAGGTGCTCCCTCAACTTGCAGTTTCTCTTGTATAACCTTGAACTAGAACCTCCCCCTCCAGGGGCCTCTGTGCCCACAAATTGGCTAGGTCTAGTGAGTCCTGACAGCCTTGGCTCAGTTGTGTGCATTCTAAGTCATTTTTCCTCCAAATTACATGTTCAAGAGGAGATTCACACATCCACGGCTCCCTTGTTCCCATGTGAAGAACTGCTATTTTGAGTGATCAGTGCTCAGAGAAATTCATGTTTCAGCCTCTAAAGCTTCAGAGCTAGAACCACAGCCGTCCCCTTGTCCATGCTGCACTGGTTTTGTCAGTGAGGATGCTGAGCTCATGGCCGCTGGGCCTGGGAGAGGCAAAGGCTGGATGGAGTTGGTTCCCTTTCCAAATGAGCGCAGTTTCTAACTGCTTCATCACCAGCCTTGTGCAAGATGGTCTGCATCATTTTCCCACCCTGCACCTATCAGGAACCCAGCTGAATAGCAATGTGACATTCATATACCCAAAAGACCCACATGAGCTAGCTACCTGTGCCGTAGTAGGTCAATCTGAGCTGGACACCTCTGAACGAATGTCCTGACCCTTCAAACCCTCCCAGGCACAAGCAAGTGCCTGTGCAGGAAGCCAAAGACAGCAGAGAGCAGCCAGGAATTAAACCCGAGATTAGTTCTCTGAGCCTTGGTTTGCTCATCTGTGACCGGAACATAACTACCAACTCAAAGTGGCTTAGTGGTAGAGCACCAGCCTTGAGCAAAAAAGAAGCTCAGGGGCAGCGCCCAGGCCCTAAGTTCAAGCCCCAGGACTGGCACACACATACACACACAATAACAGTATGGCACACAGTAGGTACTCAACAGATTCCCACTTTGCTGCAGTTGGGCTTTGGGGGATTTGTTTGGTGTTTGGGATGCAACCTGGGACCTCCTGTATTAAAGCATACAGTACTGGGGGGGGGGGAGTCCTTGCAGCTATGTAAAAGGCTTTCCCTCAAAACCAAGCGCTACCAGACTCCAGGGAGAGGCATGAGCCCTAGATGGAAAGCAGTCCCCAGTGAGGAAGATGGAGAGCTACTGGGGGGGTGGATGCCGCTCCTGGGTGCAGAAGATCCACCTGGGATCACCCTCTCCTTCGGCTCTTCCTCCTTGCTCTCCCCTCGACCACTCTGCCCCTCTGCTCCCGTACCACACCTCCCCCCACCTTGTGGGTGAAAGTATTTGCCATAGGAAAAACACACTGGATCTGTTCTGTTCTATGTTCAGCTCACCTCCGCATTTTTTTTTTCAGTCTTTTGTAAAATAGTTATGGAAGAAGAGAAACGCTTGCCCAGGGCCCAAGCATTCCACAAATGGTAGCCAGCGATGCTGAGCTGCTTCAGACCCTCTTCCCTGCTTGATTCTGAGTGTAAGCAGGACTAATACAAAACTGACTAGCAGGCCCTCTCCTTTCTCCCCAAGGACACAGGGCCAGCCTAGGATTTTCCTGGATCGCCTCATATATGGGGAAAGGACAAGAGAGCCAAGCACCAGTGGCCTATGCCTATAATCCTAGCTTCACAAAGCTGAGATCTAAGTGAATGAAGCTAGCTGGGCACTGGTGGCTCACGCCTGTAATCTTAGCTACTCAGGAAGCTGAGAGCTGAGGATCAAGGTTCAAACCAGCCCAGGCAGGAAAGGCTATGAGACTCATATCTCCAATAAACCACTCAGAAAACTGGAAGTGGCACTGTGGCTCAAGTGGCAGAGTGCTCACTTTGAGTTGAAGAGCTGAGGGGCAGCGCCCAGGCCCAGAGTTCAACAAAAAAAAGTAAATTAAAATTTAAAAAAATAAAGGAATGAAGCTAGCCCAGGCAGAACACTCCATGAGACTCCATATCCAAAACAATTGGCAAAAAGCAGGACTGGAGGCATGACTCAAATGGTAGAGCACCAGCCAAGCAAGCAAGTTGAAAGACCCTGAGTTCAAACTCTAGTACTGGCCAAAAAGAAAAGAGACAAAAAAGGGCATGAAGTGATCCCCGCAGTACAGGCTTACAGCAGACCCCATGAAAGCAAACAGCACCAACAGCAGCTCTATCCCCACCTTGCCACATTACTTCTCCCTTGGGTCCTTTCCCCTGCAGGCTTGGGGGCCTGGGGCTGGGAAGCCAGTTCTCCCCACTCTAGCTCATGCCGGAATGGCTTCTCTTCTTATTCTGGTCACATAGGTGGTATAACAGGGTCCTCCGAAGACCCAGGCTTGGCAAATGGCCACATCACCAAAATAGTGAGAACCAGTGGGCAGCTGGTTTTGTCCACAGCCCTTAGAAGGCAGAGGCCTTGGCGCTACCAGTCCTACCCACCCCCCACCTTCTTTCCTCTCTCTGTCTCCCAGACCATTTGAGTCCTCCTGATGTTCTCTTCCAGTGCCCTAGGAGCTTTGCTCAGCACATTGGGGTGAGGCATAAGGGGCTGGTGAGTGGGCTCCCCTAGTCCCAGACCCCTGTGAACCTAGCTTCCTCACCCGTATACCCAGGCATTGCCTGTGCCTTTAAGAACTTCCACCCTTCGTTGGGGTCTGGACCTCAGCAGCCTCAGCTGAGTTGGATTAAGGGCCCATTTCATGCCTTTGCAAATTCCTCCACACTTGATCCCCTCCCCGATGGGGACTGAGCAGCCAGTAGCCAGCCAGTCTGCCAAGAGCTGCTGGTCTAACCTCACAGCCCTTTCCTCTTTGGAAGTAGAAGCTGCCCCTTTGGTAGGGGGCTGGTGGACGGGAGTGAGCCTTCGGGGAGATCCCAGGGAGGGGCTGCTGTCAAGGAGACTCCAGAGAGCCATGCAGATGTTTGGGCCATGAAGAACCACTCAGATGCCATCCTCTACACAGAGGTCACAGAACTGAGCAAGGTAAGGGCCACAGAGAACACCACTCCCAAGACCCCCGCCCCCACCAGACACACACCTGTCCTTGGCCCTCAAGCTTCTCTACCTTCCAGAATGAATTCTGCAACCCTGCCTTTGAACCGGAAGCAGGGCCACCGTGCCTCCCTCCAGCCTTCCAGCAGGATGGTAGATGCACCATCCAAGCTCCCTGGCATGGTAACTCGTGGGGACAGGACCCAGGGAACAGTAGAGGGAGGTCCAAGAGAAGTGACTCTCAAACAACTCCCCCCTACCCCCCCACGTTCCCCCCCCCCCGCCTGCCTGCAGGCCGGCGTCCCCGAGGGCTGCGACCCGACTGTCATTTCTCCTGCCTCTGTATCCTCCTGCTCACCAGCCTGCTGCTCCTGCTGCTCGGGCTGCTGGTGGCTGTCATCCTCGCTCGTAAGTGCCCAGCACTGCTCGGGTCTTTAAACTGGGATTCTGTGAACAGTCCCCCCCCCACCCCCCACACACACTCCCCAGGGATCCTGCACCTCCAAATCACCATCCTCAATCCCTTGTTCCCAGAGTTGCAGGTTGCACCCCTATCTGGAACTACTGGGAGCCCATGGCCCACCCAGAGCCTCGCCACCATCAACACTGTCTCTGCCACCACCACCACCACCACCAGCACCGCTTCCCCAACAACGACAGGGCAGCAGGAGGCAGACACCAGCCCTAGCCGCCATGCCAGTGAGTACCGGGGCGTTCTGGCAGCCAGAAAGCCAGGCTGGAGAGAGGGGGAAAGGACCTCCCTCCTTTTGACTTCTAAGCTCTACCTCCAACTCTGCAGCCTGCGGGGGTCTTCTTCCTGGCCCAAGCGGCTTCTTCAGCAGTCCCAACTACCCAGACCCTTACCCACCCAATGCCCACTGCGTGTGGCAAATCCAGGTGGCCAAAGACCAAGCCATACAGCTCAAGATCGAAGCCCTCGGCATAGAGGGCGTGGCCTCTTGTCTCTTCGATCGCCTGGAAATCTTCACAGAGCCTGAAGGGCCTCTCCTCAGGTAGGTCTTCCTCCCCTCAGAAACTCCACTCTGTCTAAAGGGTAGAACTGTGAAGACAGAATCATCTAGACTGGAAGGGAATTGAGAGACAGGACCCCTGGGACCTGCTCTGTCACTACCTGGCTGCGCAGCCTGGAGGAGACTCTAAAGCACCCATCACCCTCAACCTGGATTGTTTCAGGGTGTGTGGGAGGGTGCCTCCCCCCACACTCAACACCAATGCCAGCCGCCTCCGAGCGACCTTTGTCTCAGACAGCAGTGTGGAAGGATCTGGCTTCCAGGCCTGGTACCAGGCTATGGCCCCTGGACACGGTGAGTGTCTTTCCACCATGTCCCAGCTGCCTGCCGCCCATCCACTCACTCCCCCACCCCCCAAGTCCCCCCCCACACACACCCTCCCATGCTCACCAACAGCTCCAGTGACTCCCAACTCTCTGGGAAGGGGCGGGGTTGGACTCCAGATGTCTCCCCCCCCCCCAGGGAGCTGTGTCCAGGATGAGTTCCATTGTGACCAGCTCGTCTGCCTGCTACCGGACTCAGTGTGTGATGGTTTTGCCAACTGTGCCGATGGTAGTGATGAGACCAACTGCAGTGCCAAGATCTCGGGTATGAGCCCTGCCAGGCCCACGGGAGGGACTGTCTTAGGCACCTGACCCCAGGTGGGGCCAGGACCTCAGTGTTCCCAGTGCTTTTCCTTGCCTGGTCATTCTTCTGGCCAGACCTTGCTTGCTTAGGGGCTTGGCCTACATGCATCCTCTACCGTCGCTGAGGCCTTGCTGGGCCTAGATTCCAGCCGCTCATGAGCCCTTCTGCTTCTCCACAGGGTGTGGGGGGAACCTGACTGGGCTCCAGGGCACTTTCTCTACCCCCAATTCTCTACAGCAATACCCTGTCCAACAGGTAAGCACAGAGCGCCGGTATAGGATAGCACACATGGTGACAGCAGAGCCACCAAGGTTAGGGTGACTAGGAGCAGGAGGGCGCACTGTCCTGTGCTTGGGAGGTCAGAGATCAAGCAGGCAGGAAGGGAATATTATATTAAGCACTAAGGCATGCCCATGGGCAAACTCATCCATCTCGGGAACCAGACAAGTTAAAAGGCTGTGTGTGTGTGTGTGTGTGTGTGTGTGTGTGTGTGCGCGCGCGCGTGCGTGTGTGTGTGCGCACTGGTATCCCTCATTAAGCTTTTTCCCTCATGGCTGGCACGCCACCACTTGAGTCATACCTCTAGTTCAGCTTTTATTTTTGCTGATTATTTTGGAGATAAAGTCTCACACACTTTTCTCCCTGGACTGGCTTCAAACTATGACTTTCAGGTCTCAGCTTCCTACATGGCTAGTACTACAGGCCCCTAGCTTCAAAGGCCCTTTGTAAGACCTAGCAGGGGTTTCCGTTAGGGCCCTGCCCAGCGTGGCCCGGGGGCCATGGAACCCCTCTGGAGCTCAGCACCCACGAATGTCTCCATCTGTTGCCTCCCCCCCAGCTTTGCACCTGGCATATCTCAGTGCCAGTGGGACATGGCATAGAACTCCAGTTCCACAACTTCAGCCTGGAAGAGCACGATGAGTGCCAGTTTGATTACGTGGAGGTGTACGAAGGGCACAACCCAGGACCGCTCAGCCTCCTGGGCAGGTACAGAGCAGGAGAAGACCGTCCACCCCCCCCCACCCCGCCCCACATCCTCCATCTGCCAGGCCAGAATCCCTAATCCATGGCTTGCTCTTTCTCACTTCAAAGTCTCACTCCTGCTGTCCTCCCTCAAACCTCTCCATATCCAGCCCTTCCCACCTTTAGGGGCCATCCTCACGTCCCACTAACCCGCCCTGAATCTTTCCGTCCTGGCAGCTCAAGTGTGCACCCTCCTCCTCAGACCCCAAGTTCTGCATGTGGGGGACTGCACCCCCCCCCCCGCGGCCCAGCTCAGAGCCTGGGCCCAGGACCACTCTGCTCTGAGCAGGTTCTGTGGGGCTGAGCCGCCCCGGCCCCTCATCTCCTCACACCAGCAGCTGGCTGTGCTCTTCAGAACGGCTCAGGGCACCAGCAGCAGGGGCTTCTCAGCCACCTACCGGGCCTTCAACGCCACAGAGAGTAGGTGCTTCTGGGAGAGTTGGTATGGGTGGTGGCAGTGGCCCCTTGGAACAGAGCAGAGCGGTGGGCACGGCCCGGGTGCCACAATGCCTCTGTCCCTACAGACCCCTGTGGGCCGAGGGAGCTCTGCCAGGATGGAGGCTGTGGAGCCCTGCGGCTGGCGTGTGACTTGTGGAGACACTGCACAGGAGACCGGGCCACCAACTGCAGCAGCCCCTCCTTCCCGCCCCCAGGTGAGGAGCCGCCCCTTGTGCCCTGGTCAGGCAGGGGACCCCACTCAGAGGAACCCCACAGCCTATGTCCCCACACACCTCCTGTCTGAGAGGGGCTGGGCCCCCCGCTGGGGAGTGTCACCCCAAAGGAACGTGGCAACCCTGGGAACAATGTCAGCTATCTTGTCTCAGACAGTCCTTCTTCACAGCCCGCTTCAGACTTAGGGGAGCTTTTTGCACAGGGCAGGCCCTGGCCCCTTTGAGGGGCTACCTTCCCTGGACAGGGAGGGGTCTGCACAATGCCCAGGGTGACAGCACCCTTGGAGCTGGCTCTCCAGTAACAGTTCTCCATGTTAGCTCCTCCCACCTCGCAACCCCATCTGACACACCTCAAACCAGGAGCCCACAGTGACCTTCCTCTCCCCTACAGAGCTAGCCTGCGAGCCTGTCCAGGTGGAGATGTGTCTCGGGCTGAGCTACAACACCACGGCCTTCCCTAACATCTGGGTGGGCATGGCCACCCAGGAGGAGGTGGTAGAGGTGCTCAGAGGCTACAAGGTGCGGGGCAGAGGCCAGCGGAGGTCCTAGGCTCCAGGAAGGGGAGGGAGCCTGGGGAACAAATCGCTGAGGATGGCTCTCTTCTTCCCACAGAGCCTGACCAGTCTTCCTTGTTACCAGAACTTTCGGAGGCTCCTGTGCGGGCTGCTTGTGCCCCGCTGCACACCCCTAGGCCGCATCCTTCCTCCTTGCCGCTCCGTCTGCCAGGAGGCAGAGCACCAGTGCCAGTCTAGCCTGGCGCTGCTGGGCACCCCCTGGCCCTTCAACTGTAACAGGCTGCCGGCAGCAGCTGGCATGGAGGCTTGTGCCCAGCCCTGACCCCAAAGCCAGCCCCTGCCCCTTTGCCGGCCTGCTCTCCTCTGCCCATATGGGTGGCAGGAGGGAGACACAAGAGGGGACCTTTGCATGGGGTTCTGCCCCCGCCCCCCAGCTTCCCTGCTTCCTCCCTTGTCCCTCTGCTCCCCTCTGAGCCACTGGACAATCTAGATGGCTCGCAGCCGAGGCCCTGACCTGGATTTCCTATCTTCTGCATCCAACTTTCCATCTGCTGCTTCCAATCCCTTCCCACCTGCTCCTCAGCTCTTTCCTTTCAGTCAACAGCTCTGTTCGAGGGCCTGAGCGGCGTGGCAGGCCTGTCCTCGGCCTCCGGTCCCGGGCCGCTCCGCTGGCCCCTTCCCCCGCGGCTTCAGCTGCCCCAGGTCTCCGGAGGAGCCCGCGGGCTCGCGGCTGTTCTGCGCGGGCTCCGGCTCCGGCTCCCTCCTCCTCCTCTCCCCCCACACTTTGGCCGGCCGCCGGGCGACACCACGAGTTATTTCCCTGCTATTTCCCTGCCCAGAGCTCTTGGCCTGGGAACAACTGGTTTCCTCTCGGAGTCTGGGAGGGGCAGCGCGGAGCGGCCGGAGCGGAGCGGGGCGCGAACCAGGGCCGGGGACCCGCAGGGGCAGGGGCAGGGGCAGGGGCGGGAGTGGGGCCGGCCCGAGGGTCCAGCGTGGCAGCGAGCGCCCCCAAAGCCGACCGACAGCCAGGGGGCGTCGGGAGGGGTGAGTCTAGACGAGGGGGAGCGGCCTGCGGGGAAGCCTGGGGGGAGGGCGACCGGGGGGGCGCCGAGGGGGGGCGCCGCCGACCCCTCCCCGGACGGGGGTCCGTCCCCCTCGCGTGGCCGCCCAGCTTCGGGTACATGGTGGTGGGGTGGGTCCCGGCTGTGCCGGGTCCTGGGGTTCCGGCCCCCCCCCCGCCCCCGACTCCACCGCTGCCCGGCCCCCAGATCACCGGAGGACCCCAGCGTCCGGGCTCCGGGCTCCAGCACCATGAGGCCGCTCCTCGCCCTGCTGCTCCTGGACCTGGCGTCCGGCTCGTCCCCGCTGGACAACAACAAGATCCCCAGCCTGTGCACGGGCCACCCCGGCCTGCCCGGCACCCCGGGCCAGCATGGCGGCCAGGGCCTGCCCGGCCGCGACGGCC